TATATATATATATATATATATATATATATATATATATGCCTAAGGCACAACTCTCCTAAACACGAGAGTGAAGTGTACAACTTTAGAACACTTTCCCACCAGGAGACTCGAACCCTAGCCAGCACAGAAGCCTTCCAGCAACTGGCATAACAGGTACGCCTTAACCCGCTCCACCACCAGCTCAGACCCTTTAAAAAAGAGATGGTAATTTCGGAGTATTTAAATACACCAAAGATCACCACCTCCCAAGAGCACTAGAGCAAGTGAGGGGTCATTTAGACGTTAATTTCATCAAGTCCCTGTTAATATGGGAAGACAGTGTCTATGCTTAAGGCACAACTCTCCTAAACACGAGAGTGAAGTGTACAACTTTAGAACACTGTCCCACCAGGAGACTCGAACCCTAGCCAGCACAGAAGCCTTCCAGCAACTGGCATAACAGGTACGCCTTAACCCGCTCCACCACCAGCTCAGACCCTTTAAAAAAGAGATGGTAATTTCGGAGTATTTAAATACACCAAAGATCACCACCTCCCAAGAGCACTAGAGCAAGTGAGGGGTCATTTAGTGAGGGGTGCTGGCTAGGGTTCGAGTCTCCTGGTGGGAAAGTGTTCTAAAGTTGTACACTTCACTCTCGTGTTTAGGAGAGTTGTGCCTTAAGCATAGACACTGTGTCTTCCCATATTAACAGGGACTTGATGAAATTAACGTCTAAATGACCCCTCACTTGCTCTAGTGCTCTTGGGAGGTGGTGATCTTTGGTGTATTTAAATACTCCGAAATTACCATCTCTTTTTTTAAAGGGTCTGAGCTGGTGGTGGAGCGGGTTAAGGCGTACCTGTTATGCCAGTTGCTGGAAGGCTTCTGTGCTGGCTAGGGTTCGAGTCTCCTGGTGGGAAAGTGTTCTAAAGTTGTACACTTCACTCTCGTGTTTAGGAGAGTTGTGCCTTAAGCATAGACACTGTGTCTTCCCATATTAACAGGGACTTGATGAAATTAACGTCTAAATGACCCCTCACTTGCTCTAGTGCTCTTGGGAGGTGGTGATCTTTGGTGTATTTAAATACTCCGAAATTACCATCTCTTTTTTGGGTCTGAGCTGGTGGTGGAGCGGGTTAAGGCGTACCTGTTATGCCAGTTGCTGGAAGGCTTCTGTGCTGGCTAGGGTTCGAGTCTCCTGGTGGGAAAGTGTTCTAAAGTTGTATATATATATATATATATATATATATATATATATATATATATATATATATATATATATATATATATATACAACCTACAACCGTTCCATCCTGAGTACCTATTTGTATTACCGTGAACAGTCACATTATGTGAAAGGAAACGTGCTCAATCATTTCTGTCCCTCCCGGGAATCGAACCCTGGGCTCCCCGACCGGATGTCTCAGCGATCTTGAAACTTGGTTGAGTAATGGGTGATGGTCACTGTATGGGGGATTAGTTCAATTCATTCTAACTTGACGTAATGCTGGTAATACAATAATGGTTCAGTAATTATCTTGCGTTCGCCCTGGTCCTCAGCTTATCAAATACTGTGTGTGTGTGTGTGTGTGTACTCGCCTAGTTGTGCTTGCAGGGGTTGAGCTCTGGCTGTTTGGTCCCGCTTCTCAACTATAATCAACTGGTATACAGGTTCCTGAGCCTACTGGGCTCTATCATATCTAAATTTGAAACTGTGTATGGAGTCTGCCTCCACCACATCACTGCTTAATGCATTCCATCTGTTATGTGTGTGTGTGTACTCACCTATTTGTGTTTGCGGGGGTTGAACCTTTTGGATCTTTGTGTCACATAGTTGTGCTTGCAGGGGTTGAGCTCTGCTCTTTCGGTCCGCCTCTCAACTGTCAATCAATCGCCATATTTGTGTGTGTGTGTGTACTCACCTAGTTGTGCTTGCGAGGGTTGAACTCTGGCTCTTTGGTAGCCTAAGATCGCCAACCTTAGGCAAGTAATGGCAAGTCCATCATTTACTGTTTAGATAATGTTATATCAAATCAATGGTAAATAGTCTCAGCCCATAGTTCATATCTTGTACTCATACCCAGCCTCAGGCAAACAATTGAAGAGGGGATTAAGTTCAAGTATTATTTAAAAAATGTATATAAAAGCTTATGATAAAAAGTATATAATAAAAATAACTGGGAAAATATGGCAACATCTGTAGAACTCGATGACAGTCTGGCAACACCGCCGAACAAATATTACCTCACTCGCTGATATTAATCTTAACAAATACTACTACTGTAACTTGGTCATACAACATATCAATCAAAATGACAGCTCTTGATGTAGAGTAGCAAATTTTAATTTTTATACGAAAGTGTTTAACATGAGCGAGTGGACCCGCTTAATAAATATCATCTTATTAGGCTTTTACTCGACTGTATTCCCCAGCAAATAAAATATTACGTTAATCTCACTCATAGAGCAGTTGTCATAATCTCCTCTGAATTAACTCACAACTAATCTTGATTATACAGGTATGAATATATCAACAAATTTCCCCATATTACTGAACAGTAATCAGCTCGCTCCCAAAATACAAATTATTCCGTGTTCCTAAAACACTTTATGTCATCATTCTATCAGAAAGGGAATGGAGAGGGAATCTGATCTACCTTTATACACCGTAGAACGTATACTTCAGTCTTAGCAGCTTGTTGAGGTTGGTAGATGGTTCACAAGGTCGTCTACTTGATTCCTGTAGCTGTCTTTCCTCTCTTCACCCACGACAGCGCCTCAGCTGGTCTCTTCGCTCTCCTCTGCGATGTAGCAGCTGGTGGCTGACCTTCCCTGAAGGTCACCACTGGTACTGCTTGTCTAGTAAACTGGAGAACGATGAGTGTCTCCCAGACTTCCGTCGATCTCCCACGTTGATCACTGGTCTCCTTCTCCCATGTAAAAGTGTCGTGACCCGAAAGTTGCTTCATCCAGGGCTGCTCCGCGTTCGAGTCACGTTGCCCAGGGCGGCTCCCAATTGCTTTCCAACAGTATCCTTACACTGGGGCGACTCGCGGACCGACGCTCCATCTCCCAGTACCGCCTCTCGAGACACTTAAGCATTCACCGACATCACCGAGCCTCTTGTGACCACCTATTTCGGTCCAGCATCCAGAACTTCTTCCAGAAGTTGACCAATGATTCCTCCACAATGTTTCTTGAGTATTTGACTACAAACTTGAGTACTTGAGCTCCTTGTGGCTCAAACTTCGCTTGGCGGGAACAACACGAGACGCAACCTTTCAACTTGACAACTAGGGAGACAGTGAGCTGGCGGCTTTCCCGCCTTAGACCTAGGGGCGCTGACGTCACACTACGCCACGCCAGGGCGCTCTCTGATTGTTCAGATTGGACACACCCATATTTTACCAATCACAATCGCCACAACACCGGAAACTCAATGTCTTGACATCCGAAGTATTTTGGGGGGATTCTCGATACTCCCTCAAAGTATTATCAAACGAAACTACTTATCTTCCGAGTCATGTACAAGGGAGGAGTATCCTTCCCTGGTTATTGCTTGGTTTGTAAGGCTCTCTTCATAGTCCGAGAACCCACATAGCCATCACAGCCAGGCTGATCTGGAAACTTCAGCAGAAACTTGTCCATTTTTTCTCTATTTGCTGGCAGGAGATTGAAGAGTCGTGGCCCTCTGATGTTTACAGTGAGTAAACATAATTTCCATGCCTAATCTGGGCCTTAAGCAAGAACATGTCACATAGTGAGAGTGAGAGGAGGCCACGGGGGCCTTGGGCTCCCCTGAGCTCATAAGTGAGGCCACAGGGATGAGGACCTCAGCTCCCCTGAGCTCATAAGTGAGGCCACAGGGACGTGAGTCTCAGCTCCCCTGAGCTCACTTTATGAAGGTCTCTTTATGTAAAGGATCTTGTTAGGCAGCGCTGAGCGAGGAAATTAATACAAGCCGTATACATAATGGAGCAGGTTGGTGTAGTGAGACTGCTGCTTGTTTAGGGCAGGGGACGGCGTATGAGGGAGGGGCAGGGGCTGGGTGTACGAAGGAGCGCCCCGTAGCTGTATGAGGGACGGGCGTGTGAGAGAGGGGCAAGTGGACCGACGTATGAGTAAGGAGTATGCACGAGACAGTTGTGTGAGTGTGAGAAACTGTATGTGTGAGGGTTGGGCAGGAGATGTGAGAATGAGGGAAGGGGCAGGGGTGTGCATGAGGGTGAGGCAGGAGCAGGGGTGTGCATGAGGGTGAGGCAGAGGCAGGGTGTGCATGACGGTGAGGCAGGGGCAGGATGTGCATGAGGGTGAGGCAGGGGCAGGGGTGTGCATGACGGTGAGGCAGGGGCAGGGTGTGTATGACGGTGAGGCAGAGGCAGGGTGTGCATGACGGTGAGGCAGGGGCAGGGTGTGTATGACGATGAGGCAGAGGCAGGGTGTGCATGACGGTGAGGCAGGGGCAGGGTGTGCATGAGGGTGAGGCAGGGGCAGGGGTGTGCATGAGGGTGAGGCAGGGACAGGGTGTGCATGAGGGTGAGGCAGGGGCAGGGTGTGCATGAGGGTGAGGCAGGGGCAGGGTGTGCATGAGGGTGAGGCAGGAGAGGTGAGTATGAGGGGACAGGAGAGGTATGTATGAGGGTGGTACAAGAGAGGAAAGCGTGCCCCACCAATCATAACTGCCGTAAGGAGCTCCTTCGATTACTACCCCATTATTACAGTCTTGACAAACGACAGCATTTAGTAGGTAGTCGTCCAGCATCATTAATGCTTCTCATTAAAAAAAAAAAGTTACCAACCAGGAGAGAGGAACACTACCAAACTAGCACTAAAAGAACCGTACACACTATGTGACGATTAAATAGAGCCGTGCATTATACGCGCTGTATGTGCGTGCAAGTCTTTATAATGGAGGACGAGACGAGCAAGTCTAAAGTAATCCCGGGAGGCTCAAGCCCTTATGAGAGATAAAGGCCTGAGTGGGTCCCAGTATTGTGAGGCCGGGGGGGTTGGCAGCCCTGATGGGGGACGATGGTGTTGGCAGCCCTGATGACGACGGCGGTGGTAGCCCTGATGGTGTTGGCAACCCTGATGGTGACGATGGCGGTGGTAGCACTGATGCTGAAACGCTAAGCGTGTTAGTAGCATTACAAGAATGTAAGAACACCAATGTTATGTACTCTCATAAACCTATTGTGCCTTCTTGTAAATGAATAAATAAATAAATACAGTAAATAAATAAATAAATATATGGTAACAAGGGGGTTGGCAGCCGTGATGACAACAACAGTGGCGTCAGCTGTGATGGTGACGGCGCGGGTAAGACCGACAATTGCACATGAAGTGCGAGACAAGAGCAGGCGACAGGCACTGTTTCGTGTGCAGCGTCCCGGGGCTGCATGTTGTTGCAGAGAGGTAGACCAAACTACGCCCGGTCCTCCAGGCCGGGTACATTCTGGCCACTTGAAGGTACGCAGGAGCATTATATATATATATATATATATATATATATATATATATATATATATATATATATATATATATATATATATATATATATATATATATATACACAAGAAGATACATTGGAGGTTAACAGAGATAATAGAGTTTAAGTTAAAATTACATTCTTGTAAAGCCACTAGCACGCATAGCGTTTCGATAATAATTTTATGCAGAGGTTTCTTGATACATAATGTTCTTGATACATTTCTTGAAAATGATGTAAACGGTTCCACACGGATATAAAGTTTGAGGAACGCTAGGCTACCCAGTGTTGTCTTGTGTGGGGCTGCTCCCTCAAGGAGGGACTCCTGGGATGGACAGGAAACGCTCTCATCCTGCTAACAGGAGTCAGAAGGTGTCTACTGCACTCACCTGTATTAAACAAATATTTGTGTTTAACCTGCGCTTGAAACAATCCGGCGATTCCACGTTTATTATGTTACTCTGTAATTTGTTTTGTAAATCAACAACCCTGTTTCTAAACCAACATTTACCAAGGTCTTTTCTGACGGAACTTCTGAAAATAGTATCCAATGTTTTGTTATATTTTGTTACGAAGTGAAGAAAGAGAAGGAGAGAGATAAGTAAGAGAAGTGAAGGAGAGGGAGAGGATGAGGGAGAGTGGTTGATTGTGGTGTGGGCAGATGGAAGAGTGTCATAAGCATCGTGGAGAGCGGGGTGCAGGGTGATGATGTGTGGGATCATTGCGGTCACGCCTTGCTGCCAAACACCTCTTAACGAAATGACTACAAGGTGCAGAAAACAGCTTGAGCCGCAGACGACACTGGGGGACGGGGCGAGGAGAGCCGTCTAGGCCCAGTTCTAACGTCCTACAAGCTTAGTGAAGGCTAAGTTTTCTTTAATGTTAGTAATGAATTCTAACACTTGGGAGTGTGTAATTACTTGTTTAGTTACGGGATGCGAGCTACATTCTTGGTGTCCCGTCTTCCCAACACTCTTTGTCATATAACGCTCTGAAACTACTGACGGGTTTGGCCTCATCCACCTTCTCGCTTAACTTGTTCCAATAATCTATTATTCTGTTTGCGAAGGTGAATTTTCTAAAAAAAAAATCGGCAGCTTTGTTCAGTTTGCTTAAATTTATAACCAATTGTTCTTGAAGTTCGAAATCTCAAGAATTCTTCTTTAACAGTTTTGTCGATTCCCGTAACTTTTTGTACGAAGTGATCATATCGTTTGTTTTCTTCTACCTTCTAACTTTGACATATTTAATGTCTCTTGCCTCTCCTCCTAGCTCTTGTCCTTCAGTTCCGGAAGCCATTTAGTTGCATGTCTTTGGTCCTTTTCCAGTTTGTTGATGTGCTTCTCAAGATATGGGCACCATACAACCGCTGCTTATTCCAACTTTGGTCTCACGAAGGTCGAGAACAATTTCTATACAATTTTGCCATCCATGTATTAAAAAGCAATTCTGAAATTGGAAAGCGCAGCATAGGCTCCTCGCACAATGATGTGTGTGAGGAGTGATCTTCAGGTGATGGTTTTCTATCTAGAACTACCCCTTCTCTTCATCAGATTTGTTAAAGCTTCTTAACATAATAACCCCCACACAACCTACAAATTATCTCATATTCCACATTCCATAACATGGCATTTATTCACATTAAATTCCATTTGTGTGTGTGTGTGTGGGGGGGGGGGGGTTACAGAGCCAAGTGTTAGTTTCTAACTATCGGCTGTATAGTTAAGGACGTCTCGGACGTCTCAAACACTTCCTTCAGATTTCTCCTTTTTATTTTCTGAGACTACGAGGAGTTGCTTCAGCACTTTCTCCCTTCAACCCCTTACATTTATTTACAACATTAAATGCTGAAGTTCTCCCTATTATCTGTAGCTCATTTGAGTCTTATTTACAACTCTGAACATTAGTTCTGATGTTTCTCGTCTTGAATTTTGTTCCGCCTTCATCGTTATCAGATCTCAATCTTCCCTTCCAGTTTTAGGTTTAATCTCTTCATTTATGGAAAAGCTTCGTCGTATATCAACGGAATTAGTTGTGGACGTTCAGGCGAGGATTCGGGTTAGGGGCTGCATTCTCAGAGTGGTGTCTCACGTACGTTACATAGATTTATGAACGCTTTATTGTAAAGGTTCATGAAGGCTATGCACCCAGTTGGACCTTTTAGCGTATGTCATAAACGTTGACTCCCCTTTCATGACGCAAGAGGTTGCATGACTCCTCTTCATGAGAGGTAAAGATCTGTCATGGGAGGGGCTTTGAGCGTAGAGGGGGGGAGAGGGTATCTGGTTGGGGAAGGGGTGGGTATGGATACTCTGATTAAGATCAGTTATTGTGGTGGTTTTGCAATGCTAACAAATGTGTATAAATAACTTGTAAGAATTGAAATATAATTGTGCTTGACAGCTGAGTTGACAGCGCTTCGGACTCGTAGTCCCGAGGTTCCGGGTTTGATTCCCGGTGGAGGCGGAGACAAATGGGCGAAATATTTCTTTTATCCTGATGCTCCTGTTACCTAGCAGTAAATAGGTACCTGGGAGTTAGTCGGCTATTACGGGCTGCTTCCTGAGGGTGTGTAACAAAAAAGAGGCCTGGTCGAGGACCGGGCCGCGGGGACACTAAGCCCCGAAAACATCTCAAGATAACCTCAAGATAGCATGGTAGGGGGTCAAATCCGGGGTCAATGTTTATGCCAATTTTTTCGAAGCGTCAAGAAACATTTGCAAGTGACGTGCAATGTTAAATGGGATTCTTGTAATGTTATTTGTCTATTTGTACTCACTGAATTTGTGCGCCCCTTGAGGGACTTGAAGTAGAAGGGGGTAGAAATAGCCTAAGCTACTCTATCCCTTTTGAGATGTATTTATTGCTTATCTCAATAAACATACTTGAACTTGAACTTGAACTTGCAAGTGAGGTGTTTTGTGTCGCTGGAGGTGGTGAAGGGTGTTGTCCCCGCCACACTGTACGTACTCCCAGGCACGACGACCTCCTTCACACAGCACTAAAGACCTGTAGAAAATGGGCTTCCCTCTCCCTTCACCACCATCTTCTGATCTGCTCTCACCTTTCACTACCTTGACCGCCCTCTTCCCCATCTTCCCTCACCTCCGTCCCCCCCTCCCCTTGCTCTACAGGTCCTCCGAGACTGCCTGTCAGACCCCAACAATGTTATCGTGTACCCTGCTTCCCTCACAGACTTTATTGCATATTAAAACCTGTGAAGGCTCAGTAGCTTGCCTTTTATGGCGCTGCTGCGGCTTCCTCTCCCTACACACGACCTCTACAACGCCACTTTAATTACCCAGTAACGTTCGTGTTTATGGCGCCTCCTGCTGGCCCTCGCTGTCTCCTTCGTCTGCGTTAGGAAGAGTTTGGTTCGATATTTTTTCCTGTTTTGCCTTTCATTGTGGTTCCTTTCTGTCTGATCTTCGTGGGTTTTATTAGTTTTCTGCGTTAGCTCACTGTTTCCTCATCTCTCAGCTCCTCCTTATTTAACTGCCTCTTTCTGGGTGTAGATGGGTCTCCCCACCCCCCTCTCTCGCCCCACTCCTCCCTCTCTCCCAATCTCTTCCTCTCTCACTTTTCCTCTCCTCTTCCTCTTTCCACTATTCTTTCCCCTCTCTCCCAACTTACCCCCTTACTTTATCTCTCCCACTCTTCCCGCTCTCCCTTAACCCTCTTCCCCCTTTCCTCTCTTCTCCCTCTCCCAATACCTCTCCTGCTCTCTTCTCTCTTCCATGCCTCTTTTCTCTATTTCACCCTGGTAATTAGTGGCAGCAAGCATCAACACTCCTCAGAAACACCACCTCTGATTTTATTTGATACTTCATGAAAATTGCAGGGAGACACTTAAGATGCCGATATTTCTTAACGCATGGCATTTGGGCGGACTCCCACTGGCCTTCGGCACTCGCCTGCTCCTTCCCCCCCCCCCCCCACCCCCGTGTTTCATGCGTGAAGGTTGGGTGATGCACACGCCCCAAGCGCATAACTTCCTATTTCACACAGAAAGATAGCCCGGCAGATTTTGTTATATATACATTGATTTTACACTAGGGGGAGGGCCCTGGACCATATATCTGATGTCCAACTGAGACTTTAGGCCTCCGCTGGGGTGCCACTACTTGAGTATGGAGGTATTAGGTGATCCAGACCCCAGTCATATCAATTACTAAACACCATAAACGTGGATAATGACATTTCATACATTGCGGGTCTCCTTCTGGTGTTGTATATTAATATTTGTAAGTAATTCGTATTGACCTTGCTCTGTGGAAGTATTGTTCCAATGTAGTTACTTCAGCTGCTGTTTTTACAGCCATATCATTATGCTACGTTTACTGCAAACTGTCTTATTTCTGACCACATCTTGACACACCTTCAGATTCATCCTTAATTCTCTCTCTCAACTTACTGTGGTGTGGGCGTCTCATCCCTGGTTATGAGTGGGAGTCCACCCCTGGTTATGTGTGGGCGTCTCACCCCTGGTTATGAGTGGGCGTCTCACCCTTGGTCATGTGTGGGCGTCTCACCCCTGGTTATGAGTGGGCGTCTCACCCCTGGTTATGTGTGGGCGTCTCACCCCTGGTTATGTGTGGGCGTCTCACCCTTGGTCATGTGTGGGCGTCTCACCCTTGGTCATGTGTGGG